TCCGCGAGAAGAAGGCACACGGTCTCCACTCCGACTTACTCTTCCCCGGTTGTAGAAGCACCGCCCCTACCGCCCGGTCTGATGCATCGGTTTCAACTCTCATAGGTTTTTGTAAATCCACATGCAGGAGTTGTTCTTCCGAAGCGAACGCCCTTTTCAGTTCTTCAAATGCTCGCTCCGCCTCCGCCGTCCAAACAAATTTCTTCTTGCTGCTGAGACAGTCAGTGATGGGAGCCGTCAAGTGGGCAAAGTTCTTGATGAACTTCCGATAAAAGTTTCCAAACCCTAGGAATCTTTGCACATCCTTCTTGGTTTTCGGTGTTTTCCATTCCAGTACCGCTTGGACCTTGCCTGGATCCATGGCCAATCCCTTGTCTGACAAGCGGTACCCCAGGAATTCCACCTCCTTGGTATGAAACTGACACTTCTCCAGTTTCACCCACAGCTGGTTAGCTTGCAGCTTGCCCAACACTTCTCGGACGTCCCTCACATGCTGCTCCTCATTCTCTGAATATACCAACACGTCGTCTAAGAAGGCTACACAATTCTTGTAGAGCAAAGGTCCCAGGACGTGGTTCATAAACGCTTGAAAACACGCCGAGCCTGCTTGTAGACCGAAGGGCATAACGAGATATTCAAAGGCTCCCAAAGGGGTGAACATGGTGGTTTTCCATTCATCCCCTTTCCTTATTCGTATCAGGTTGTACGCCCCCCGCAGGTCCAGTTTTGTAAAAATCTTTCCCTTCCTCACCCTAGTCAAAATGTCATCAATTCGGGGCATAGGGAAAGCCAGAGGTTCCGACACTGCATTCAGGGCCCGGAAGTCCACTACAAGCCTCGGTTTATCTGTGTGTTTTTTTGTCCACAAAAAACACTGGGCTGCCCCCCACCGCTCGGGACTCTCTGATGAAACCTCGCTTCAGGTTTTTGTCAATGAACTCCCTTAACTCCTGCATCTCTCTGTCTGACATAGCGTACAGCTTGCCCACTGGGAGCTGGGCCCCAGGGAGTAGATTGATTTGACAGTCAAAGGGTCTATGCGGCGGCAGTTTGTCTGCTTCCCTTTCGCTAAATACGTTGCTCAGATCTGCGTATTGTGGGGGCACCTTCCCTTTGTCCGTTACTTCCATCCCTGCTAGGGTGACTCTGGCCCCTTCCGGCGCCTTCCCCTCTTTGCAGTGTTCTAGGCAGTGCGCTGACCCAAAGGAGACCACTCTCTGATGCCAGCCCACTAGCGGATCGTGTAGCGCCAGCCAGCTCATCCCCAAAATAATGGGAGCTCCTCCCAAGGTGGCCACATTAAACGCTATCCGTTCGGTGTGCCTTGCCACCCTCATTATCATCGGGACAGTCTGTTGGCTAACTTCTCCTCCCAACAGCTCCCTCCCATCGATCGTGGTCACCTGCAATGGGTTACTTAAAGGGATAGTCTGTATCTGGTGCTCAGCTGCAAACTCCTTACTCATGAAATTACAGGAGCTGCCTGAGTCCAATAGCGCGTTTATCTTTAGTGGGTGTCCGTTTGGCAGCTCTAGTAACACCTCTATCACTAAAGCAGGTCTTGGAGGTTCCGGCGTGGGCACTTTCACTGCTCTTTGGCCTGGCTGCTGTGCCCCGACGGTGGCAGCCAGGCGTTGGCTTTTACTTGCTCCTTGACTTCCTCCTCCTTTTCCCCAACAGCTCCCGCCATCCCTTGCCATTCCTTTCTTTGTGGGCAGACTCTGGCAAAGTGACCTGGCTGTTGGCAGAAATAACATTTCTTGGCGCTCTTCCCCTCCTTCTTCCGCCCTTCACTGGGATTTGAAACTGCGCGCGCCCGCGCTGTTCCAATTTCCATCGGCTCTGCCGGCGGGAAAGGTGGCTCTGGAATCTCTGGAATGCGGAAATCCCTCCAACGTTCCCCTTTCCCTTCCCGCTTTTCCAAAGCTCTCGCCTCCTGGCGTGCTCCTATGGTCAGCGCGGATTTGGTCAGCTGATCCATAGACTCCGCCCTGGGTGCCCGGGAAAGTTCGTCTTTCACCGCCGAAGAAAGCCCTTCTTCGAAAAGCATTTGTATGGGCTCCGCCGATAGATCCCACCCCAATTTATGGATCAACATGGTAAACTCAGTCCAGTACTCACGGACAGATCGGCTCCCCTGTTTGCAAGCCATTAACTGTCTGCGCACCACTCCCTGCTCAATGTCGCTGGAAAACATCAGGTCCATGGCACGAAAAAACTTCCTCGTATCCTTTAGGATCTCATTATTCACTGCCATCAGGGGCCTAACCCAGTCTTTCGCCCCCGCTTCGAGATGGCCAATCACAAAAGCCACTCGCGACTCCTCGTCGGGAAAGTCATCAAACTGCAGATTGAGAGCATATTGCATCTCTGTCCTAAAGGCGTGATAGTTCCTGGGATCCCCCCCAAACTTCTGCACCAATCCTGGCACCTTTCTTGCGAGCGGGGTGGTTTTTCCCTTTTCTGCATCCTGAGCCCTCCTCTCCTCGAGCCTCGCCGTCTGCAGCGCTAGCTGGACTTCCAACACCCTGTACCTTTCTTCCAGGCTTGGACCCGCTCCAGCTCCTCCTGCTTCTCCGGTTTCGGCTGGGTTGCTCATGATGCCTCTCCCTGCACAAGCTGCTTTCAGAGACTTTCGGATTGCTGTGATGGGATGATGAGCTGCTTGTGCGTAAAATCCTAGTCCCTCAGAGTTTGATCAAATCCGCAAACCTCTGCCTACGACGGAGCCCCTCAAGCATGGCTCCGTCAGTCGCTAGCAGAATCCGAAAGTGGGCGCTTACGGAATCTCTTCCAACATAAAAGCTCCTTAACGGAAACACGTCTTCTGGACTCTCGGCGCGACAGTTTCCGGCGAGGAGTGGGTGTCCCTATAGGAGGTCCTGAGACCTCCCCACTGTTTTCGCTGGAAGCGTCTCTGAGCCATCCCTCCGACTCACTTTCCCTTGGAGTTCCTTCTCTCCCCCTGCTGGTTCCCTCTTCAGCTGCTAAGTCTCTCTCAACCTCAGTGAGCCCTTCCACCTCCTGTCCTTCCGATGGCAGTTCCCTGACAATATGTTTGTCGGTCAGTTGGTTTACGGTATAAGGTGGTGTCTATGCGCCCATCCTGTATTTTTATAGTAGTGTCCAAAAATGTATTTCTTGCATAGATTGATTCATTGTTAGGTTGATTGTGGGGTGAAATTCATTGAATTTCTGGTGGAAGGTGTCCCGGGTCTGTTGACCATGTGTCCAGATGATAAAAATATCGTCAATGTATCGCAGGTACAAGAGAGGTTTGAGTGGGTTGGAGTTTAGGAAACGTTGTTCCAAATCTGCCATGAAGATGTTGGCATACTGTGGGGCCATGCGGGTGCCCATTGCTGTGCCGCTGATCTGAAGGAACAGGTCATCACCGAATTTGAAGTTGTTGTGGGTAAGGACAAATTGGCAGAGTTTGGTGGCAAAGTCCGCTGTGGTTTTATCTGAAATGGTGTTCCTTATAGCTTGTAAACCATCATTGTGTGGGATGTTGGTATACAGAGATTCCACAACCATTTGATGTGATCAATTTGATGTGATCCATTCTTGGTCTCTCTGCTCTAAGAGCAACATTAAAAAGGTAAAGGGACCCCTGACAATTAAGTCCAGTCGCGAACAACTCTGGGGTTGCGGCGCTCATCTCGCTTTAAAGGCCGAGGGAGCCGGCATTTGTCCGCTTCCGCAGACAGTTTTTCCGGGTCATGTGGCCAGCATGACTAAGCCGCTTCTGGCGAAACCAGAGCAGCACACAGAAACGCCGTTTACCTTCCCGCGGGCAGCCTAAATATGTAGCACATGTAGAAGTACCTCTTAATATTTACAGGAATGAGCCTAACCTCCTTCCTCTCCCCATCCCAAACTCACACATTTTCCACTGTCCTCCATTGGCAAGGCCACGAGGAGACCAAAACATTCAGATTTATTAATCACAGATTAGTAGGTTGTCCAAACTTTTAATTATACCTTAATCTTAACTATGAATAGAGGAAACAATCCAATTTCATAAACTATAGTTTGAAGTAGGCCTGTTTCTATTCATCGTAAAGGTAAAGGGACCCCTGACCATTAGGTCCAGTTGTGGCCGACTGGGGTTGCAGCGCTCATCTTGCTTTACTGGCCGAGGGAGCCAGCGTACAGCTTCCGGGTCATATGGCCAGCATGACTAAGCCGCTTCTGGCAAACCAGAGCAGCACATGGAAACGCCATTTACCTTCCTGCCGGAGCGGTACCTATTTATCTACTTGCACTGCGTGCTTTCGAACTGCTAGGTTGGCAGGAGCAGGGACCAAGCAACGGGAGTTCACCCCACTGAGGGGATTTGAATCGCTGACCTTCCGATCAGCAAGCCCTAGACTCTCAAACACAGAACCTAAAACGTCTTGAGGTGGTTCTGCTACAGCCCAGTGGCATTGTTATCACAGAATTCAGTTCCTTGACAATCCTTCCTCTTTCTTTCTTTCTTTCTTTCTTTCTTTCTTTCTTTCTTTCTTTCTTTTCTTTCTTTTTCTTTCTTTTGCAGTTTCTAGCCTTTATGGCTGTGAAATTATACATGAAAATGCAAGGGCACTGCTTGCTGAAATCTCAGAAGCCAGAGAGGTTTTCAGGATGAGGGGTAGAGGGTCATTGGCCTGTATAGCTCTTTGCTCTCAAACATGATTACGAAATACTTAAAATTAGATAAAACAAGGGATGATGGAAATGTGAATAATGCGTACTGTTTATACATGTTGCTGGATTCTGCTTTCCTTGATGAGAATGGTCACTTTTCATGGTCAATGCAGAATTAACCACACCTGGAGACTGCTCTCCCATCTTCTGGGTTATCCTTCTTCTAGAAAAGGCTTTAGCTTGCTCTGTGAATATTCTGCTTGCCCTTCCTGTCACACACACTCTTGGGTTGTGTCTTTTGAGATTTGTATTGATCCTGAATGAGGTGGTGACCTGTAGCTCTGGCACTAACCATCTCTTGATCCTTTCAGAAAAAAATTCCACCCAAGAAAGATGGCTACAGCACAAAGAAGCTTACAGGAGTAAGTACCTGCTGTGTTGCCTTCTCTGGGTTTGACATCTCTTAGTTGATTCCATTCCTGTGGATGTTGTGCTCCTTTATTCCATTTATATTGCTTCATAGATTTACATGTAGCCTCTTGGTTTCTGGAAAAGCGCCTCTCTTGCCATTGGTATGTTTCCCCCTCTTGTTCAGTCATCAGTCATGGTGAGGGCCTGCAGCTTGTCAGGCTAATGTTGGGAGCAGCAGCATGCTGATCTCATGTTCCTCTTTTGATGATGGCTGTACTAGCTGGTGTGTTGCGATATGTAGCCATCAGTTGCGATATGGAGACCTTGGGCATGACTTTCTCTGGGTCTGTATTTGTTCTTGGGGAGATGTCTTGGCGTCTCATTTCCTCCTCATCCCTTGGCAAGTCTGTGCTGTGCCTGATGGCCTCTTCTGTCTCTTTCCTGCTTGACACCAGGAAGTCCTCTCCACGGAGGAGACCTTTACGCCAGCACGGCGCCGGCAGAAGAAGTCAGCACCCGTGACAGTGAGTGGTACTGAATCTGCATGCAGCTCATGATAGAGGCAAGAATGTGTGACTTCACACAGTCCATCTGATATTGGACTCAAGTTCTCCCCCCACCTCAAATCCACATATCATGAGCCTGGGAGTGGTGTGTGTCGTAGTGGGTGTCAGAATGCCCAGATAATGGAGAGTTCGATTTATGAACTGGGTAGACCTGGATTTAAATGCCTGCTTGGCCAGTAAGTTGATTTTTTTGGTCAGACACATTCTCTTTGTCATCTTGGAGGGTTGTTAGGATAACCTAGGATAGCCCTCTCATTTCCTTGGATGATGGAACACAATGTTGTGTTTTTCATCAATAATCTCTTAGGATTATATGCCTGGTGTCAGAAGTCCCTTAGCTTTGTGTATGCCTTTATCTGTTCCTGTATTTCCCCCCTCTTTCCCCCTCTGCTTGCCAGGATGGGCCAGCTCCCAAGGTCCAGCGGGCCCCAAGGGGACACCACAAGAGGCTGCCAGCTGCACCACCAGCATCTGCAGTGAGTGGGGGTCAAGACATAATGGAGTGTAATTTTTCAGTCCTGGCTGAGCTGATATGATTGGAAGGCCTGCAGAATGTCAGCATGCGCTTGCCTGGTCTCCCATTCCCTGCTCATCCGGGATATTAATAATAGGTGGGAGAATCGTCAAACCCACTGCTAGCTGGTCACTGCCATCGCATTATTCATTGAGAGACTGAAATGCAGTTTACAGTAAAGCAGGTTTGGCTACGCTGTCCATAATCTGCAAGTGTGGTGTGCTGTGGCTTCCTCCAACTGGATCTTCATGAAAGAATGAAAGCAAATGTGGCCAATCATCTTTTGGCGGAGTGTGCTGCAGGTTGAGCCCTAAAGATCATGGTGATATGCTAGTGCCTGCTGCATTAAACATGTGCCTCTTCTGATTCTGGTTAGTTATATTCCTAGAGTGCTGAGCTGGAGACTAGGCCCTGGCACAAGCACTGAAGGGGCAGGCAGGAGTGCAGGCTTGCAAGTAGAGGTGAGCATAAAATTGTTGGAAGGGACCCTAAGAGCCATCTAGTCCATTCCCCTGCAATGCAGGAATTTCAACTAGATCATACCCGACAGATGGCCATCCAGCCTCTGCTTTAAAAACCTCGAAGAAGGAACGTCTCCCACTTCTCGTGAGAGTCTATTCCACTATTCTTCAGCTCTGACTGTTGGAAAGTTCTTCCTGATGTTTAGTTGGAATCTCCAAGTTATAGCAACCAAGTACACTAAGAATCTGTGCATTGTTAGCATACTTGGTTGCTATAACTGGGAATAGGAGGAACTGAGGAACTTATGGATTAGAATAGTCCTAGAAGCAGGAAGATGGAGTCAAAAAGCCGAGGGAAAATAGGCACAATTTTAAGCTCAAGACGCAGTCCAGAAACACCTGGCTCTTCCTTGTATCTTGCCTGCATTAGGCCTTCATTTGAGGCTCTTGGTTTTCCGTGCCCCAAGACTGATATGAGATGCAACATACATCTCTTGAGTTTCCCTTTCTGCAGCACAATCTTCCTCCTTTGAAAGAGGTGTCTTGTCTCTTCTTTCTCCTGGACTGAGCTTTTGGCTGGGTCTGCCTCTGATGACTCTGAATATGTGGGGATATCTTCACTCTTTCTCCTTTCTTCCTTTCTTTGGCTGCCAGGATGGGCCCCTTCCCAAGGCCCAGCTTGCTGCAAGCTGCCATCGTCGAAAGCGCTCTGCTACCACAGTAAGTGGCTTGATGCTGGATCCTACAAAGATGTTTGTGTTGCAGCACAAGTTTTTGTGGGTCATGTGGGTATTCTGTGGGAGCAAAAGATGGAGCAGCTCCCATGTGAAGAAAGGTTGCAGCGTTTGGGCCTTTTTAGTTTAGAGAAAAGGTGAGTAATGGGTAACGTGACAGAAGTTTATAAAATTAAACGTGGCATGGAAAAAGTGGATAGAGAAAGCTTTTTCTCACTCTCGGGGACATCCAGTGAAGCCGAATGTTGGAAGATTCAGGACAGAGTAAAAGAAAGTACTTATGCACACAGTACATAGTCAAACTGGAATTCACTTCCACAGGAATCACTGGTGGCCACCAACGTAGATGGCTTTGAAAGAGGATTAGACAAGTTCAGGGAGGAGGAGGAGAGGGCCAAGATGGCTGTAGTCTCCTTCCACAGTCAGAGGCAGTAATGTTCTGAAGACCAGTTGCAGGGAATCTTAGGAAGGGAGAAGGTCACTGCGTCCTGCTTCCAGGTTTTCCACAGGCATCTGGTTGGCCACTGGGAGAATAGGATGCTGGACTAAATGGGCTGTGGGTCTGATCCAGCAGGCTCCTCTTACGTCCATAAGACATGTTTCACCACCGTATGTCAATAAAAGTAAAATACTTGGGTCGAGGTGCAGTTAATAGGCATATTGTGTTTCTTCTCTGATGCTGTCTCTGCCAAGGGGTGCATAACGTGTCTGCATTGACTTATAGAGATGAGCACGCTGGATTTTGGCTGTAGACATATATGTGTGTTAACAGCAATACCCATGCTGAGTACCGTATTTTTCGCTCTATAACACGCACCCGACCATAACACGCATGTAGTTTTTAGAGGAGGAAAATCCGTAGGCATGCCACCCGTAGGCATTCCCTCCATAACACACACAGACATTTCCCCTTACTTTCTAGGAGGAAAAAAGTGAGTGTTATGGTGCAGAAAATACGGTACTTCCCATATGGGCATATTCTGATAATCCTCACACTTATGCCATCCCTACTGTCCTAATTTTAAGCTTTACTTGGGTATTTGAATCCAGGCTTTGACCAGCTTGTTAGCTATTTGGCTGATCTTTCTGCTGAGAGTGTGGGGAATGAATTCCACTACAAATGACTTCCAGTTGCAGAAATTTAGTGAGTTTGTGTGTCAGATTGACCTTAAAGTTTTGCAGAGCATGCAGACTGAGTTGTTTGGTTTGGATGGCTTTTATCCTGCATCCTTCTGATATTGGTCCCACAAACATTTCATGTGGTTGCCTCTTGGGAATGGGCACAACTGTGATTGAATCTCTTTGCAAATGATCTGAATTTGACCAAGTTAGGGAAGCCAGTTCAATCATGCCTCTCCTGTATTTCTCTCAGCTCTTCTCTACTAATTTCATGGGAATTTCCAAATGCAGAACATTTCTGTTTACTCACCGCACCACCTCTTTGTCTCCCTTTTTCTAGAAATGGAAACCTACCATGGAACGGGATCCTGGAGGCATCCCTACAGTAAGACAAAGGGTAAGTAGGCAACAGGGAGCTATGTCTTACACAGTATAACGACATTGACAGTAAGCAATATCACCTTGGAAAGTATCTTACACAAGTCTAGAGCAACCTGCATACATTATTCTGTTTGAATACTGTGTCCAGTTCTGGGCACCACAATTTAAGAAGGATGTTGGCAAGCTTGAACGTGTGCAGAGGAGAGCAACCAGGATGATCAAGGGTCTGGAAACCGAGCCTTATGAGGAGCGGTTGAAGGAGCTAGGTCTGTTTAGCCTGGAAAAGAGGAGACTGAGAGGAGATATGACAGCCATCTTCAAATATCTGAAGGGCTGTCATGGAAGAGGGAACAAACCTGTTTTGTCCTGCTTCAGAGGCTAAGACCCAAACCAGTGTTTAAATACGATGACCATATTCAAATATCTCAGAAGTTGTTCTGGAGGGTAGGACTTGAACAAATGACTTTAAGTTACAAAAAAGGAGATTCCGGCTAAATATCAAGAAGAACTTTCTGACAGTAGGAGTTGTTTGACAGTGGAAGAGTCTCCCTTGGGAGGTTTTTAAGCAGAGGTTGGATGGCCATCTGTCATGGATGCTTTACGTGAAATTCCTGCATTGCAGGGGGTTGAATTAAATGACGCTTGGGGTCCCTTCCAACTCTACAGTTCTGTGACATACACACTTGCTCTAAATTAGTTGTTGTTGTTGTTGTTAAAGATTGTACTTTCTTGATGCAGAAGGCTTTTGTCTCTAAAAGGGCTGGGAAGCAACAGAAAGACAAACCCTAAATGTAGACTTCCCATTTCAGTTATTATTTTCCATGTTCATTGCTCACTCTGGTTGGGGTCAGTGAGTGCAGGCCACTTCTTTGTTGTTTGTTTCTTGGGTGAATATTTATTCTGAAGTAGTAGTCCGGGTTTTACTTTGTTAGGATTCTGGCCGACTCATATCAGTTGCTTACCCTGTTCCTTTGTGAGATGAAGATAACACTATGCAGAAGGTTCATCTTCAAACAGACTTTTAGTCTCTGTGATTATCCAGGGGTGATTTTGAACCAGCCACCGATTGACGCAAGTCAACCTGTCACTGCTCAGAGGTCAACAGTCAGGTAGAGGTAGGTTCTGCTGTCTGATAAATGAGGAGGAAGGGTAGGAGGGAGAGACTTTAACAATTAAAACTGGAATAGGTGAGGCTTGTAATTTTTATGTGAAAGCCTTTTAAGAAAAAGTGCATTTGGGGCATTGATTCAGAGGCAAGAGGGATATGTCTAGGACAGGTCATCCTACACCAGTTTGGTACCCTCCCATCAGTCTCAGCCAGCAAGGCCATGACTGATAGGAGTTGTAGTCCAAAATCTGGGGGGCACCAGCTTGGTGAAGGTTGGTCTATGTAGATAAGGGGAGGTGCTTACAGCTTGGGGAGCTTATAAGTTCTCACAAACAAGTTTTTGTTTTGAGGGTGTTTGCTAAGTTTTTACAATACCAAATTCTTGTCTAAACAGTAGGTGGAAGGGGAACTTTCCCAAGGGCAAAGGGACCATAATCTTAAATTCAGATTGGTTGGGGTACAGATCACTAACAGTGATTTGTTGAATGAATAAACTTTATTACAGTCACAGACCAGAATAAGAGAAACATATGAATAAAATAGCAGTTCAGATTTAAACAGGTGATTGTTAAATCAAATAAGAACAAGCATAGGATAAAACATGTGAATAGAGTACAGGATAGATAATTGAGGAATAAGAAATGATAATTAAAACAGATAAGGACTAAAAGACATACAGTTAAAACAACTATAAGGGGTGGAGCTTAGGGGAATAGCGGTCTTGCAATATGGGCCTTCAGTTTAAGACTGGTTTGTAGCACAAACCATCCTTCAGCGAATATCCATCATGGTAGTGCAAAACCTAGCAACTGAGTATGTAACATCTGGGTTTTCATCCTGGAGTAGTAGGGAGATGTTGAGTTGTTCTGTATGTCCTGGGAATTTGTGCAGGATAGGCAGGATAAACCTGGCTCGTATGTCTATATAGTACTGACAATGGAAAAAGGCATTTTCTGTTGTTTCCTGCTGCCCAGAGCCACAGGGGCATTTCCTCTCCTCGTATGGTGGCTTCCTATTACGGCCTTCTTGAATGGCTGAGGGGAGGGCCTGACAACAGGCCAGAGTGAAGGCCCTACACTGGGATTTCAAGGTTGGTTATATATGGCATTTGGGAGGTGAGGTATCTACTGGTTTCACTGATTAGAAATTTTGGGGACCTGGCTAGGTCTGCTTGACATTCTGTGTCTTCCACATGCTGTTTAATGTTTGTTTGTTTGTTTGTTTGTTTGTTTGTTTAGCTTGTTCATGCCCTATGTCAAGTAAAATCTGTGGGTTGAAGCCTAGAGTAGTTATATTTTTCACTGCTTGTTTCCATGTTGATTGGAAATCATCCTTAATAGTCAGGGGAGCAAGGCCGCTCAGGAAGAAAGATAGTCTCAACCAGTAATTAAAAGTGGCGAGCCACACTCTGGCCTCGATTCTCATGGATCCAGTTTCAAGACATATGGTAGCATTGGAGACGTGTTTAGGCACTTGTAGAGCAGATCTTAAGAATTTGGATTGTATCAATTATAGTGGTGCATAGTTGGCAGAGGGACCTAATTAGGCACTGTATAACAGCTGTGCAATCGATTTAGCTTCAAACAGTTTGAGGGCTGCAGGTATATAGTGTCCACCTTTGGTCCTGAGGTACTTGAGGATAGCATTTGCGCTTCTCTGGGCATTCCCTGCAAAGTAGTCGCCATGGGCTTTTGAAGCAAGTGACCTTCTCAATCTTGTGACCATTGATGTACCATGCATGTGGTTTGGGCCTCTTGGCAAAAACCATAATTTTGGTTTTCTGGTAATTGAGTTCCAATTGGCTCTCCTTGCAATATGTTGCCAGTGTTTTCATGGCTCTTTTAAGGCCTCATCAGTGTTCTTGAGAGGATTGCTGCGTCATCTGCATAAACTTATAAATAATGCTCTCCTGCGTGCATCTTTCGCTGTGCATTATCTGCTGATAAGAGCGTGCATCAGTTCTGGAATGTGGCAAGCTATTTCTGGAGCTCATATCGCTAATTGCTGATACTGCGTGTCTACGGGAGATCGATGGACGTCCTGAGGCGACGTGGGGCCATGACGGACTTTGTCTCCCTGGCAGTATCCCAACAGAAAATGCCAGTGGAAGTGAAATGTCCCAGTTCTTGATCATTGCATCTGAAAGCAAGCAGAGGGCTGCCACAGATTCAGAACAATATTTTGTGAGTGGAGTTATAGAAGCATTTATTTAAAAAGAATGGAAAAATGCCTTCCTTAAGAGGGCAGAGAAGGAAAGGATCATAGGTTGGTTTGCACTGTGGACCTTTAATTTGTGGTCCACTTGCTGTATTGCCCCAATTTTCTTGGGTTCTCTTTTCAAAGACACGTTCTTGAAAAGGCATATGTAGCTGGCTCATAAAGGCTACAGCTATAACTCATTCTCTAATAAGGTGCCCAGCAGCCCCTGCTGAGCATGGTCCTTCCTGGGTGAAACTGTCATTGGCCTCCTGGTCCACGAAGCTGGGTGGCCCCTCTGAGCAGTCTTATCTGCCCTATTTGAATTCATGTCAAAATGTCATGGAATTTCCCACACAGTGGTACCTTGGTTTTATAACAGCCTAGTTTATAAACAACTTGGAAATAGTAAATTGCAAACCAGGAAGTAGGTGTTTCGGTTTGTGAACTTTGCCTCGGAATTAAAACATGTCCCGCTTCCTGTTGAGTCTGTTCCATTTCTAAATGGAGTTCTCCTGCTGCTGATTGGAGGCTTCCTGCTGAGTCTGTCAGCTGCTGTGTCCCACGCAACACAAAGTTGATATTTGGAGCTTTTTTCCCCATTTTTGTTTGTGTGACCTTTTCGTGGCTATGGCTTGTGACTTTGTTTTTGTGACTCTGTGGAACCCAGTTCATCTACTGATTGATTGTGTGACTGTGGAAATGGATAAAAGCTCTGCCCCCTCCAGACAATCACTATCATCAGTGCAGGTTAGGGGAAAAAAATAATTTTAATTTTTATCATCTACAGTACTGTCTTATTTGCTTTCATTTTATGGATCAATGGTCTTGTTAGATAGTAAAATTAATGTTAAATTGCTGTTTTAGGGGTTGTTTTTAAAAGCCTGGGATTAATCCATTTTACATTACTTTCTTCGGGTAAGCACGCTTTGGTTTTAGAACGCTTTGGTTTTAGATTGGGCTTCCGGAACGGATTAATTTTGGGACCCAAGGTACCACTGTATTCCCCTAAATCAGTCAGCACTTGATGATTTAACTAGAAATAAGGCTTAGTCTGTGTGAGTTATTAAGTTAACTGTATCAAGACTCAGTTGGTCCATTGCAGATGACTTGGTTTTAACATTACAGGAGCCAGAATCTAGTACAAAAAGAGTTTTAGAATTGATTCATGAATTTGGTCGGGTGGCGGGATTTAAGTTGAACAAGCAAAAAACCAAGGTTTTGGCTAAAAATTTGACACTTACAGAAACAGATGGGTTCCAGAAAGAGACAGAATTAAGTGTTGTTAAAAAAGTGAAATACCTAGGGGTTCACTTTTCCGCCAAAAACTTGAATTTATTTAAAGACAATTATGAAAAATGTTGGGCGGAAATTAAAAAAGATTTGGAAATTTGGTCAAGATTGAAACTTTCCTTGTTGGGTCGAATTGCAGCTATAAAAATGAATGTATTGCCGAAAATGTTATTTTTGTTCCAAGCCCTACAGATTGTGGACAGAGTGGAATGTTTTGGAAAGTGGCAGAAGGATATCTCCAAGTTTGTTTGGCAGGGCAAAAAGCCCCGAATAAAGTTTAAAATACTAACTGATTCGAAAGAAAGAGGGGGGTTTGCCCTGCCAGACTTGAGGTTGTATTATGAATCTGCAGCCTTCTGCTGGTTGAAGGATTGGTTTCTGTTGGAGAACACTGATGTCCTAGATCTGGAAGGGTTTGACAATGCTTTTGGTTGGCATGCATATTTGTGGTACGACAAGGTTAAAGTTCATAAATTGTTTAAAAACCATATTGTCAGAAGAGCAATATTTATGGTCTGGACGAAATACAAAGACTTACTAGAGAGTAAGACCCCGAGGTGGCTATCACCGGTGGAGGCCAAGGCTCGAAAAAGACCCAACATGGAGGCCTACTGGCCGAAATATTGGGAAATAATTGAAAAAATTGGAGACAATTGGAGGTTGCAGAGCTTGGAGAAATTAAAAAACAAGGTGCGAGACTGGCTACATTATGCTCAAATTCAAGAGGTTTTTAAAATAGATAAAAAAGTTGGTTTCCAGGTGGAAAAATCGAAACTAGAAACGGAATTGTTAGAACCAAAAACTAAGACACTTTCGAGAATGTACAACTTGCTGCTTAAATGGAATACACAGGATGAGACAGTTAAATCTGCTATGATAAAATGGGCACAGGATATTGGGCATAACATCATGTTTGAGGACTGGGAAAGGTTATGGAACACCGGAATGAAGTTCACGGCATGTAATGCCTTGAAGGAAAACATTATGAAAATGATATACCGGTGGTACATGACCCCAGTCAAGCTTGCTAAGATATATCACTTGTCTGACAACAAATGTTGGAAATGTAAGGAGGCCGAAGGGACATTCTTTCACCTCTGGTGGACCTGCCCAAAAATGAAGGCCTTCTGGGAAGTGATTTACAATGAGTTAAAAAAGGTATTTAGGTATACCTTTCCCAAGAAACCAGAGGCCTTCCTATTGGGCATGGTGGACCAGAAAGTGTTAAAGAAGGATAGAACTTTGTTTATGTATGCTACTACAGCAGCAAGAATTCTCATCGCAAAGTACTGGAAGACACAAGATTTACCCACGCTGGAGGAATGGCAGACGCAGTTGATGGACTACATGGAACTGGCTGAAATGACTGGCAGAATCTGAGATTTGGGAGAGGAAACAACGGAAGAGGACTGGAAAAAATTTAAGGACTATTTTCAAAAACATTATAAGTTGTATGAATCCTAAGAATGTGCACGATTAGGAAACTTTTGCTTCTGCAACTCGATTAGGTGAATTGAAAACTAAGTTATAAGAAAGAAGAGGTGAAAACATGAAATAACTTTATTATGTTTATTTTAAATGTACAAGAATTGGGATACAACATTGTAAATTTAGAAACATGATAACTGAAAGATACAGTAAGTTATGAAACAAGGTAACAAATTGCTGACGTTTATATTACAAAGAACGCAGGGTCTGGAGGATGTGGGGAAGTCCAGTTGGATTTTTGAAAATACTATGGAAAGTTGGATTTTTATATATTTCTTCTTCTTTTTATTCTTTTTCTTTTTTCTTTATTCTTTATTTCTGAACGTAAGAAAAGAAACTTAATAAAAATTAAAAAAAAAAAAAAGACTCAGTTGGTCCAAAGCAGGGTCCGGCAACCTAAGGCCCATGGGCCACAAGCGGCCCATGGGGGTCATTTAACTGGCCCATGGACCCAGCCGCCCGCTCGAGGACCCCCGCTGCCCACTCAGTCGGCTTCCGTGTGCCGCACTAAACGGGCGTGGAGCAGAGCAGGGAGTACCTTCCACAACGCTGGAAGTTCCTGCAGCCAATGGGAAGCGAAGCTGCACACGCCTGAAATAACGTTTGCGCACGCACGCACACTCTGGTCCACCATGGAGTTTGCGGGGCTGTGAACTGGCCCAAGCCACAAAAACCTTGCCGACTCCTGGTCCAAAGTTTATAGATAGTGTGCTTTTGCTCCTGGAGAATACTCCTTTCTGTATTGCAAGGGATACACACTGTATCAGACTCGGTGCAAATACTAAAGTGAGTTGAAATCATGGTGTTGCACACTGTCTTTTCTACCTGGAGTCCTGCTCCCTGATAAGCACTAACCGACTCATTTGGGAAAGCTCTGACATGTCACGTGGGGCCGAGCCTCAGCAGGGGATGAGGTGCCTGAAAGTCTTGCATAGGTAAAAGAATACTGCAGCATTTCCCAACATGTAAACTTCTTTGTGGGAGCAACTGAGACTAGAAGGGTCTCCTTGACCATCCCAACTCACGTGGGTTTCTTCTTAACAGAAGAAGCAGTTAGGAGCAGTGAAGGAAAGGAAGAAACCTGGTCGTCCCCCCAAGCATCCCACTGCCCAGCTGAAGAACAATGTGGTAAGCATATGGCTTTTCTGCATGGGGGTCTCTGGGATGTGGCTCAGCTACAATTTATTTCTACAACCATTTGAGAAAGTGATTTGAAGCACATTTTCTTCTAAGATCTTAATCAGTGTACAGGTGCCCAAAGTTGTGTGGTGTGTGTATCACAAATGGATACCTACATTTCCTTACCCCTTCTCTCATCATGTGATGGGAATCAATGGAGTCCACCCAGAAGTCTGCACTCCCAAGTGGAATGGAAAACATTAACTGTGTTGGGAGCTGATGAAGCCTTGGAAATTGAATCGGGAAGGGGAGGGATTGTGAGGGCTTTAGCAGCCCACACTGTCCACCCCCATGGATGTGTCGCAATCTGAAAATACAGTGTTATCTCGGGTTACATATGCTTCAGGTTACAGACTCTGCTAACCCAGAAATATTACGTCGGGTTAAGAACTTTGCTTCAGGATGAGAACAGAAATTGCGTGGTGGCGGCACGGCATCAGCAGGAGACCCCGTTAGCTAAAGTGGTGCTTCAGGTTAAGAACAGTTTCAGGTTAAGAACAGACCTCCAAAACGAATTAAGTACTTAACCCGAGGTACCACTGTAGTTTGAAAAGCTAAATCAGCTATGTGCCCAGGAAAGAAGTAGAGAGAGCAATAAGCAACTTGAAATCTAATTAGCATTTAATGAGACTGCAGTGCGTGTTATTTGGGAAACTCGCTTCTATTATTATTATTATTATTATTATTATTATTATTATTATTATCATCGTATTTTTCGCCCTATAGGACGAACTTTTCACCCTCCAAAAATGAAGGGGAAATGTGTGTGCGTCCTATGGGGCGAATGCAGGCTTTCCCTGAAGCCTGGAGAGCGAGAGGGGTCAGTGTGCACCGACCCCTCTCGCTCTCCAGGCTTCAGGAAGCTATCCGCAAGCCTTGCAAGCCCGGCAGGAGGTCCCGCCGGCACGCAAAGCTTGCGGGCAGCAGCCTGCAGCCCACAAGCTTGGGGGATAGTGGGGAGGCGGAGCGTCGCCACCCCGCTATTCCCCGACCTGATCTGAAGGCTGGCGGGGGGGGGGGAAGCAAGCTTGCTTCTCCCCATCGCCAGCCCCATAAGCTCGGGGATAGCGGGGAGGCGGAGCGCCGTCACCCCGCTATTCCCCGACCTGATCTGGAGGCTGGCGGGGGGGGAGAAGCAAGCTTGCTTCTCCCCATCACCAGCCCCATAAGCTCGGGGGATAGCGGGGAGGCGGAGCGCCGTCACCCTGCTATTCCCCGACCTGATGTGGAGGCTGGCGGGGGGGGGGGGAGAAACAAGCTTGCTTCTCCCCATCGCCAGCCCCATAAGCTCGGGGGATAGCAGGGAAGCGGAGCGCTGTCACCCCGCTATTCCCCGACCTGATCTGGAGGCTGGGGGGGGGGGGGAGAAGCAAGCTTGCTTCTCCCCATCGCCAGCCCCACAAGCTCGGGGGATCATAGAATCATAGAATCATAGAGTTGGAAGAGACCACAAGGGCCATCGAGTCCAACCCCCAGCCAAGCAGGAAACACCATCAGAGCACTCCTGACATATGGTTGTCAAGCCTCTGCTTAAAGACCTCCAAAGAAGGAGACTCCACCACACTCCTTGGCAGCAAATTCCACTGTCGAACAGCTCTTACTGTCAGGAAGTTCTTCCTAATGTTTAGGTGGAATCTTCTTTCTTGTAGTTTGGATCCATTGCTCCGTGTCCGCTTCTCTGGAGCAGCAGAAAACAGCCTTTCTCCCTCCTCTATGTGACATCCTTTTATATATTTGAACATGGCTATCATATCACCCCTTAACCTCCTCTTCTCCAGGCTAAACATGCCCAGCTCCCTTAGCCGTTCCTCATAAGGCATCATTTCCAGGCCTTTGACCATTTTGGTTGCCCTCCTCTGGACACGTTCCAGTTTGTCAGTGTCCTTCTTGAACTGTGGTGCCCAGAACTGGACACAGTACTCCAGGTGAGGTCTGACCAGAGCAGAATACAGTGGCACTATTACTTCCCTTGATCTAGATGCTATACTCCTATTGATGAGGCCCAGAATTGCATTGGCTTTTTTAGCTGCCGCGTCACACTGTTGGCTCATGTCAAGTTTGTGGTCAACCAAGACTCCTAGATCCTTTTCACATGTACTGCTCTCAAGCCAGGTGTCACCCATCTTGTATTTGTGCCTCTCATTTTTTTTGCCCAAGTGCAATACTTTACATTTCTCCCTGTTAAAATTCATCTTGTTTGTTTTGGCCCAGTTCTCTAATCTGTCAAGGTCGTTTTGAAGTGTGATCCTGTCCTCTGGGGTGTTAGCCACCCCTCCCACCCCACTATACCCCGACCTGATCTGAAGGCTGGTGGAGGGGAGAAGCAAGCTTACTTCTCCCCCCCCCGCCACCCCCACAAGCTCGGGGGATAGTGGGGAGGTGGAGCGCCGCCACCCCACTATTCCCTGACCTGATCTGGAGGCTGGCGGGGGGGGGGGAGAAGCAAGCTTGCTTCTCCCCATCGGCAGCCCCACAAGCTCGGGGGACAGCGGGGCAAGCCGCTGCCCCACGGAGGCTAGAGAGGCTGTCCCTGAAGGCAGAAGAGGGAGACGGAGCGCTCCGTCTCCCTCTTCTAGCTTGAGGATGGCTGCGCAAACCTGGGGGGGGGGGAAATAAATTTTCCCCCCTTGATTTCCCCCCAAAAAGCTAGGTACGTCCTATGGGCCGGTGCGTCCTATAGGGCGAAAAATACGGTATATTTTATTATTTTCAATTAATTCACATTACATCTTAATTGCCATACACCTTCATCATTGTACATAACATGAATATATTATTTCTGCAAATTCCCCACATCTAACCCTGCAACCACCTCCCCTTATACCCAAATGCCCGTGTGACTTCCTTCAACCACATGTTTGATATCCAACTTATTACTTAATTACTTATTTTTTAAAAACCTGCAAAGTGGTTTACCAAAACAAAAACCGAAAAAACACCAAAACAGTAAAATCAAGAAAAATTAACAATCCTACTTTAAAACATACAAAACATTAAGATTAAAATTGCTTCAACTTCCTAAGCATCTAGGTATGCTTGCCTAAAGAAGACTTTTAGCAGTTGCCCGAAAAGAGTCTAGTAAGGCATGTGCTTTATTGCAATAGGCGGGGAATTCCAAAGTGCAGGTGCTGCCACGCTAAACAATGCAGTACAGATATTATGTGGAACGTGTAGTAGTGCTTGAAACAACTGAAGAGGAGGTTTTATTTATTGTGATTTCACCATGCTCTGTATTATCTGAAAAGGAAAACATTTACCGTATTTTTCGCTCTATAAGACGCACCAGACCACAAGACGCACCTAGTTTTTGGAGGAGGAAAACAAGAAAAAATATATTCTGAATCTCAGCAGCCAAAACAGCAAGAGGGATTGCTGTGCAGTGAAAGCAGCAATCCCTCTTGCTGTTCTGGCTTCTGGGATAGCTGCGCAGCCTGCATTCGCTCCGTAAGACGCACACACATTTCCCCTTACTTTTTAGGAGGGAAAAAGTGAGTCTTATAGAGCAAAAAATACGGTATTTAAAAAACCGGACTGCACAGCAGCAATCTACTCGCCTGTGAGTCTCATCATGTTCAGTGGGACTTATTCCCAAGCCAATGGTGCATAAGATGGGCTGCTATCCTTTGCACCCCTTGTGTTCAACTTGTACCTAAAACTCTGCACAAACCTGCACCAGAGAATTGTAGGGTTGGAAGGGATCCCTGAGTGTCATCGAGGGGCAATGCAGGAATCTCAACTAGACCATCCCTGACCGATGGCCACCCGTCTCCTGTTTTTCCCCCTCAGCCAGGACACACAACAACGGAGACTGGAGGTGGGGGGAAAGATAAATTTTGACAATGGGGCAGATTTGTCAGGCGCATGCAGGGCCAGCTTGAAGACTTTACACAGAGAGGAACCCCACCCGCATGTAACGTAACAGGCAGGGAGCCAGCTCAGATAGAAAGACATGGGGCGGGGGAGGACAAAAGAGTACCAAAGTCTGTCCATTTTATCCTCTTTGCGATGGTGGCACTAGGGCTCTGGGATGCAGCCAGAGCTCTGGGACCACCCTCCCTAAAATATTTACTTGTCTTCAATGTATTGCTACCACCATTCTATAGTACTAATCCAGTTTAAATTAAACACTTTCTCTAAAAGTAAAATGGCAGAAGTAATCAGTAGCATACATATGAAAGGAAAGGTGAGAGAATAGTTCCTAATTGATGCAAGGGAGACACAGATACACAAGCACACAGAAGTAAATAATCCAAGTGTGGCTTGATGTTATGTCATTGAGTTGTTAAGTGTTATGCTGTTAAGTGAAGCTAAATCCCCACTGACCCATGACAGAGGAAATGAGGCACATTCATTTTATGTTACACAGATAAGATTATTTTAGTACGGTAACCCCATCCTGAGAATGGAGGCTAGCACGTGAGCAATTTCTGCGAAGGTTGGTGATAAATTTCATCCTCAAAATTACTGCAACGTTTTTGTTGCGTACTGAAGTTCTCACCCTGGGCCAGCAGGGGGATACTGTAGATAGTTATGCAAATGAAGGATCGAAAGTGACATTCAGTGATTGGATAGTTTTAGAAAGTTGCAACAGTTACAATTGTTCTAGAGCTCTATATAAGCAGGCTGACTGAGCTCCTCAGTTCAGTTCTGTTCCAGCTTACAAATAATCGCTGTGTCGTCTGCTATGTCAACCCACAACTTAACACTGGCGACGAAGGTGGGATCGATGGACATCAGAGCACAGCCAGATGTGGCCATCCTCTGAACTGAGCTGAATCACTGAGCTGAATCACTGAGCGAAATCACTGAGTGAAATCACTGGACAGAACCAATTCAGAGCTGACTGTTCTGGCTAGAGCACTGTGTTCCATCCATTGCCCTTCACGCCGGCATCGGAATCATGGCTTCACTTGTGCCTCTACCGCTGTTTGCGCCAGCCTCTGAATCGT